GGCTCCCTGCTCAGCGGGGGGTCTGCTTCTCCCTCTGACCCTCTTCCCTCTCGTGCTCTCTGTCTCTCATTCTCTCTCTCTCAAATAAATAAAAATCTTTAAAAAAAAAAAATCAGGTGGTTTGTTGTGAAGAGTTGTAGGAGTTCTTTATCTACTCTGGATATTAGCTCCTTATCAGGTATAGGATTTACAAATAATTTTTCTTATTCAGTGGGCTGCCTTTTCACCGTTGGTGATACACAAACGGTTTTTAATTTTGGTGTGATCCAACTTACCTGTTTTTCTCTTTGTTGCTTGTGTAGACTGGATCAGAGGCTAAGGCAACGGAAAAACCTGCAAGAACCAGGAAAGGCTTTACAGGTCTTAGTGAGTGGGGAAGGTTGCCGGACAGGAGTGGGAAGATAGTCTGACATGAGGAACAGGAAGCCCTTCTGTGTGCCTGCTGGGAATGAGGAGCTGGGTGGGCATGTGACACGGTTTTAAGAAAGACTTCAAACATGACAACTCGGGGACTTTCTTCTCTTAGCAGGAATGCGACAGCAGTACAGAGGGCAGCGGGGAGGGGAAGAGACTGGAGGCAAGGAGGCGTCTTGGAGAGCTCGCGGAGATTTGCGAGGGAAGGAGATGAGCCCGATGGTAACGGGGATGCACAGACGTGACCACTCGTGCAGCTGAGTCGCCGGAGCGAGGTGAGCTGCAGAGGGGCACCTTGGGGGGCAGCCCTTTGCTGTGGGGCACGTCGAGAACCGGGATGGGGGCCTGCAGGATGCGCGGCAGCCGACGGGACAGACGTGTGTGCGGGATGCTGACGGTCACTGGTGGGTATGTGGAGGCACCCAGCTTCCCACGAATGCAGACCTTAATTTCACGTTTACTTTTTGATTCAGCAAACATCAGGGGTGTGGGAGGGCTTCCTGGGAGTGCGAGCCCTTGGGCTAGAGGGGCTTTGGCCTCCTGCGGGCAGGACGTCTCCAGCAGCCTTGTTTGCTCGCGGCCAGTACCGCGCAGCTGTTCTGTCTTCAGTCACCAGATGCCAGCAGGATTAAAAGAGCAAGGACACGCAGTATTTCTTCCACTTTCCTCTCGACACCTTGCACCTACCCAGATGGAAGCAGACCTTCTGCGACCTGTCTGTGGCAGGGAGTGGAATTCCGGTGACTCTGCCCAGAGCAGTGATCTTGGAGCTACTTGGACGGACCGTGTACCTCCTCACTGGCACTCGCGTTTCCAGCGAGCCCATGTGGATGGCCACTGACGTGACGGCTACAGCTGGTCACCAAGCACAGAGATGCACCTCGTGCAGGTTAGCTGGGTTTTTCATCCTATTTAACATGAAGTTTAACTGACACTAATTTTGTTCCTAGAACACGCTCATGCTTTGAATAACCTGGGCATAGAAATCTTTTTAAATTGTAAGTGGTATGAAATCTAAATACAGATAAAATACTCCTAATGAAAATTCAGTGTCAGAATTGAGATGTGTGCTAAGTGTAAATAAAATACAGTAAAGACCGCACTAAAGAAACAAAAAAACAAAAAACCCACTGTCACAGTAATTTTGTAAAATACTGATGACCTGTAGCTGGAACAGTATTTTAGATACATGGTGTTATATTATAAAAATTAAAAAATTTTAAAATTTTTACTGTGGCTATTAGGAATTTTTACATTGCATATGTAGGTCATATTTCCATTAAACAACCTTGAGCCAGACAAAACAACAAGGATTAAGTGAAAGACTTCCTTTTCTTAGGAGAAAATAACTTCTTAAATCAATTTCTTTAAGAAGCATTTACTTGAAATCTCTATTCTTCTACGTTCATATGAAACTCCCGAGCCACCAAATCCGTGCTCAGCAGCTGGGCAAGCCAGTTGGCTGCAGACAGCTCCTGGAGCGTTTAAGAATTATTTCTCGGCAGCTTTTGAAAAAAAAAAACAAAAAAAAACACTAATCGAAAGGTTAAATCAGTCATACTTGCATGTTGGTTAAACAAACACCCTGTCTCCACTGAAGACTGAACAGATGCATGAGACTCTGCACGGAAGGCCCGTTTTCTCCATCCACACCTTCACTTTCCTTCAAGGGTGTGAGCCGTAGGGCAGCATTCTGAATACTTTGCAATCAAAACTGTGTTCTCAAATATGAAACTCTTCTTCCTTTCCAGGATTTTGCAGAACCTAAGATATTTCATATCAACACTAATTCCATCTGTTGTACGTGACAGGAAGTGGTCAGTTCTACAGGTTAGTACTTCTAAGTTTGCTTAGGTACAAAACAGTTAGCTTCAAAGCAGACACATCTTGAGGTACAATTTGTTAAAAATACAAGTAAATGCCAGACTATAGTGCACCTAAGAACTGCTCTTAAGGCATACTTTATAGAGCTCAAGATAAATACTTCCGGCAGCCAATAAAATGTCAGTTGCTTCAGGCTGAGCGAGCCTGAAGGTGTGCCCCCCGCCCCCGGTAATGGGGCGGGCTCCCGGGAAATCCCACAGAAGGTCAAGGGTTAGGGCAGAAGCACTTGAAGACACTGGCCCTTACCTAAAACTGTGAAGTGTGTGGTGATTTCCTTTCCACTTGGAGAAAGAGCTGTACGCCAGCGGAGCTGGGAGGAACACCTGAGGAAGGGTTGTCCTGAGTGTGGGACCGTCCTCAAAGCCCTCTAGGGACACTGAGAGCTCTCCTGACACGGAATTCAGTTCATTCCGTGTTCGTGTCTTCAATGCATGTGTACTACCTATGCTGTATTCCGGATTTAAACTGAATGTGCAGTTAGGGAATTGTCACGCGGGTCACAACTGTTCCTAGGCAAGGCATTTCAGAAACTGTTACGGAAGCAAATTCAGTGCTTCAGGAACACACCCGATGGGCACAGTGATGAGGAGCAGTGAGAGCAACTCCGAAGGTCTGGGACGGTGGCCTCCGATGCGGTCCCACAGAAGTGTTGAAGCACTGGACGTTGATCGGAGCAGGATGTGACTGGTGGGTGCAGGGCCGCGGCTGTCCCTCTGCTTAGAGGATGGCTGCCTTCCAGATACTCTATTTTGCCTTGAAATTACTTAAAATGTGATCCAGTTTATTGTAAGTCGTATAAATTACGCAAAAAACAAAGGATCACTCAATTCTAAGTTCAAAAGTACATTTATTTAAAATGTGGGCAAGATATCAATATAAAAGAAAAGAGTATAAGAAATAAAAATAAAGTACAAAACATTTCAAATCTTTAACATCCATAAAACATCCATAATTTAGAGATAGCAAGGTCTTTACACCATTTTATTTGTAGCCGAAGTTAACAGTGTTGTGAAAACATTTAAAAACCTGGCAAATGAATCATAAAACCTAATGTGGGCTCGTAAATTCATATAATACAAAACATAATTTATGTTTCCTCAGAATAAAATTACACATCTTAATAAGATGCAGTATATTTATTATCTGTGTTCTCCTGCTTTAAAATGCCTGCCTGCTGAAGCAGCTGGAAAACACGGGCACCTGAAGGGGAGCGGCCTGCTCCGCCCGGCAGCGGGCACGGCCGGACGTCGTCCCAGGGCTCCAGTCGCAGTGTCGACGCCATCAGTTAAATTTATATGTAGGCTTGTTGAGGAAAAACCATTTCAAGCACACACCGCACACACGGTCCCAAATCTAGTTACGGAAGTACCCTGCCGGCATAAAGCCGTCAGTCCATCTCAATCCCAGGGAGCTTTACAAATGCCCATGCATAAAGCCGTCAGTCCTGCTGCACATCAAATGCCCATGCACACGACTCACGCAGCCCGAGTGCACCAGGCCCCCTGCACTGGCGGGACCTGGCGAGCGTGCCCTGCGGTCAGAGCCGCGGTCGTGGCTGACGGTCTGGGAGCCCACCCCGACCCCCACGACCCCACACCCAGGTAAGTCCTCCTTCCCTGAACCTGCCAAGCAAGCCCTGCGGCTCCGACCCATCCTCCCGGGGCAAAAATCAATCCGTCTCCCTTCTGTCTCTAGATGGAGAAAAGGCCCCTGAGAGGACGCCCACATAACTTTTAAAGCAGTTCTTCCTTCTGAAAGTAAAAGGAGTACAGAACAGGCGTTTACGGTTTTTTTTTTTAAAACTCTGGAAAAGAAAATGCTACAGCATGGTGTCCACAACTACCCACTAACTCGGGCACACCTGCAGAATACATACAGTCCTGACACCAGTGGGGGCTGCCTCCAAAGGATATGAGTCATAGTCCAGTGTTTGTGTGAGCACTCCAGTTAGAACAAACTCCGCGTTGTGCACGTCTGAAAGGGACAAAACAAGCTCAAGGGGTGCTGTGTCTACACGCGCTCCAATCAAGGACAAGAGCAGTGGGACTTGACTTACCTATTCCTCTGGCAAAATATTCTCGACATAAGTGCAGGTCATTTTCACAGGATATTAAAATTATTTCCGACAAACTCTAAGGAAAAGAAAATGAGTTCATCGGTTACTGAACAAGGAATCTCATCGGGCACAGTGATGAATCAGCAGCCTGTTTTCCTTCTATCCACCTTATTTTGCTTGTGCTCCACGAGCTTCCGGAAAGACGGCTGTTTAGACAACACTCGTCCTCCCGCACACTCCACAATCGCCTTCATGGTTGAGAGACTTGGGCAGATTCCAGGTGTGATGTAAAAATATTTTGCCTAAAAATAAAAATATGTGCACGTTTTTAACTGAATTTTTAGGGTAATTTTTCATGAATTCTACCATGATTTTTGACCAAATGTATAATTCTGTGAAATTACAGAAGTCCCAGCCCTTGCAGGTCCCCAACCTGAAGTGGGCCTGGAGGAAGCCAGGATGCTGATCTGAGCTAACTGAAGCATTTTCCCAAGTCAGGTAAGACCCGGGATGAGTCAAAGTAACTGGAACTCCTGTCCCTAAGAGACATGAAGGATTCTGTGGGGTCAGTGAGAACACTACTCCATCCGCCTTGCTGTGTCAAGCAAGAGACCCCTCTCTTTCAGATCTGTGTGTTCCCTGGGCTCTGACCAGGAGATGATCCTGATGGCTAAGATGTAACTTTCTAACGCCTGTTCTCTGAAGTGCACAAGATACTATTTTTTTTTTAAACCACTCACAGAAAAAGAACATTTAGAAAATTCAGACTATTTTAGGTAAGATACATCTTAACATTTCCATTCTCATTCCTAAGCTGGTTCCCTGAGAAGGGTAAAAAACAGACCAATACAAAAGAGTTGTTCTAAGTATCTTATCAAACAAATATTTAAAAATCCTCTGTCTTAAATTATTTAGGCACACATTCAATTAATATTTTCCCAAGAATCTTCATCCTCCAGCTGAGTATGCATTTAATAAGAACACGAAGTAGCAAAGATTTGTGAGAAGCAGAAAAATCAACCTAAATGTCTCTTGCCAACTGGATCATTCACAAATACACTCTAAACACCCAGGTGCTTTGCCGAGCGTCTCTCCAGCAGACTCGTGAAGAGCAGGGCTCCGGAGGCCCACTGGGCCTCCCCAGCACAGCAGCCTCCAGAGGCCAGGAGTGTGCGCCACCCACTCGGTTACTGTCCCTTCGACTGTGCCATGTGGGGCACCTGCGGGGACACTGCTGACTACCCTTTACCTTGAAGAGTGGGGAGGCGTGCGCCCTTTTCAGGGACTCTTCCAGACTGAAAGAGAACAGCACCTCGGCCTCAGCGTCTCGAAGGAGGTAGTTCTGCTCATCTGGAAAACAGAGTCGCCCTCTCAGAAAAGTGCAGACTTGCAGAGTACCGGGCACGGGATCCACCCCGGAGGTCTCCCCGCCGGTCAGGGGCACGTCACTCGCGGCTCACACTTCCCTGGGAAACCACTGAATGTGAAATCTCAGTTATTCTCCCCTGAAAACAGCCAGACAAGATGAAAGACAGACTCCCTTCTGCACAGCGTAGCTTAAACTTCTGAGGTCATATGCTCTTGAAAACAAATGGACTGAGAGCTGGGGACCCTCTTCTACTGCCGCACCTCCCCTCTGCACCCCCGCCACCATTCCACACGGTTTCAGGGCGTTCACAGATCCTGCGTGGAGAACCCCAGTCCCAGAGCGACCAGCTGAGAACCAGCATCACATCCAACGTATATGTGATGACCACAAGTCTCATTAGACTCAAGGAACTGATAATCCATTGTATAGATCTAACAGATGCCTTTTAAATATAGGAAAGTGGGTGGCAACTTATGAAGAATAGTTTCACCAAATCTTGAGGACACAGGAGAATTTTAATTGTTTTTCAGAGTTTTCATGGTTAACATTTTAAGAAACGTCCAATTTACCAAAAGTCAAAGAGAACAAAATGTTTTAAGCTTCTTATAAACGTCTCATGCTCAGAAAAGCATTTCTTCCTCATTTCATAATAATAACCAGGTAACCTGATGACACGGTCCCCAAAAGTGCGGCACAGGGAAGTGTGGAGTGGGGGCTGGCCAGGTGGGCGGCCAAGATCACACACGTTAGGACTTGCAGGCCACACACTGTTTCTGCCAAATTATCCTTTTCATGAAGCAGTGAGGCTTTAAATATGTAAAACACCATTCTTAGCTCATAAGCCAGTTTGCTGACTCTGGGCAAGAGCAATCCAATCAGTAAAGAGACACTGAAATTATGAACAAGTGCTAGAAATACAAGATCAGTTAGCCAATCAATCAGATAAAGCTGCTATCCTGTTTTAGGTGGAAAAAGATAATGTCCGAAAATTGGAGAAGTAAAAAATGAACAGGAAGTACAGTCACACATGAAATATCTGAAATGGCAGCTTCCAGGGCAACCGCGGAGGCAGACGCGCCTTTTCAGGACCCGGAGGGTCACCGAGCAGCAGCCAGTGCTGCTGACGGAGAAGCGACTCGGGACAGCCGCAGCTGACGCCCCCCTGCACAGGAGATACCACACCAGGCTCTGCGCTCTCGCGCTCAATCTCAAAACAAAACGCAGGGCAGAAGAGCGTAACATGAGCCTAGAACTTTCTTGTGCCAAAAGCCAGGAAGTGCTCGAAGACCAAGGGGACAGACTGCGGGACCCTGAAGCCAGCCTGAGTGGCTCTCTCTCACTGGACATCAAGGGCAGCACAATAACCCATGGAATAAAACTCAAAAAGGAGTCCATACAAGGAAATAATAAAGGAACAGATACTGGCACAGTTTCAACTACTTCCCCATAAATGACATATTGCACAGAGAAGGCCAGCAGACGTCACCTGCTCCCAGGGACCCATGAGCCGCACAAGAGAACAGCACAAGCCCTGGCAGGAGTGCGGCGAGGACCCGGCACCGAGCGGGGCGGTCCTGCACTCAATCGGGGGGAAGCAGCAGGTACACCCAGACAGAGGGACGTTCTAGCAAATAATCAACCGAAGCAACAAGGGAACACTGAGGAGACGTGGCGACCCCGTGCACGGTTCTGACCCGGACCCTCTGGCTTTGAGGGACATCCCTGGGACACAGAGCCATCTGAGGACGAGGCTGTGGCCGTGGACCGGACTCTGAGGGCTGTACTGTGGCCATGGGGCAGAATGGCCTTTTCTGTAGGTAACACACATCAAGGTGTTCGAGGATGATGGCGCGTAACTTTAGCAACGTACCCTTTTATGGTTCAGGAGAAAACAGCAATTTGTACTATACTTGCAACTGCTTGGTAACTTGGTGATTGTTTCAAATAAAGTGAGATTTTTTAAATTCAAAAGCCAAATATGTTTAAAAATCACTAAAATGTTAAAAGATGGGTAAAAGAAAGAAATGACTGTGAAAGCAAAAATTCAGACATTACTACAAATCAACCAAATAAGGTCAATATTTTTGAAAAATTTAGAAAATAATCCAAAAGTGTCAACTTTCGGCAAAAACAAAAACTTTTTTTTTTTTTTTTTAAATTTTTATTTATTTGACAGACAGCAAGAGAGGGAACACAAGCAGGGGGAATGGGAGAGGGAGAAGCAGGCTTCCCGCTGAGCAGGGAGCCTGATGCGGGGCCCGATCCC